CGGGTTGATGAATCATGGGCGCATGTCTTTGGCATTTGTCGCATTTTCGAACGAATTCCCTCGCATCTTTGCCCATATCGCTCCAATAATACCCTGCTCTGATTGCTTTGTGAACCTGCGAATCAGCACCAGAATGGTTTTCACAATTGCCCTCGTGAATTTTCCGTAGGATATAATCGGTATCTCCTGGTCCCAAACATATTACCATTGGTCCATCGAACGTCCTTCTAAACAGCGTCCCGTCTTCGGACATGGTGAACCGTGCTACTTTTGTGCGCAAAGCTCTCGATTCCTTTAGATCTGATGGAAGCTTCCCATTCTTGAAGTACTCTATATATTTGTTTCTCCAATCCCAGGTTATACTTGTGGAGTTTATCTCGGCGTGACCTTCTTCGATCACCGATCTTATGAGTTGTACGACAGTCCCCGAGTTGAGTTCGTCATCTTCGACCGATGAACCTAAGTTTGTAAGAGTGTCCGCTTCGCTGTTCTGTTCTCGGGGTACATGTTGCAAAGTCCATTCTTTAAATTGATGTAGAGTCACCTGTAATTTATCCAAGTACCTCTGCATTCAATTTTCTCGGACTTCAAAAGTCCCATTAACTTGGTTTACCACGTGTAGGGAATCACACTTAGCCTCTACGACCTCCACTCCCAAGCTTCTAGCTAGTTCGAGACCTGCAATCATGGCCTCATACTCGGCATCATTGTTAGTCAAATTAGTAGTTCTGAGACTGTCTAACTACATTACCTGTGGGTGATTTTAGTACAATGCCTAATCTGTACCCCTTCGCGTTCGAGGCACCGTCCGTGAAAAGGGTCCAGACTCCCGAAGAGGTACCCGATTTTATCAGTAGCTCTTTTTCAATCTCGGGTACGAGGGCCGGTGAAATGTCAGCCACGAAGTCCACCAAGATTTGAGATTTGATAGAGGTTCGGGGTAGATACTAGATATCGTATCCACAGATTTCTATGGCCCATTTGGCCAATCGACCTGAAAGATAGGGTTTGTACAAAATGTTTCGAAGAGGATATGTTGTTACAACATGTATCGGATGACATTGAAAATATGGTTTTAGTTTCCTAGAGGCGCTTATTAAAGCAAGAGCTAATTTTTCTAAGTGTAGATATCTAGTTTCGGCCTCGCCTAAGGTCCGACTGACATAATAAACAGGGAATTGCATACCTCGTTCTTCTCAAACCAGAACTCCACTTACCGCTATCTCCGAGACAGCTAAGTATAGGTAAAGTTGCTCGTCCACTTTCGGGGTATGAAGCAGCGGCAGGCTCGATAAATACCGCTTTAGTTCTTCCAAAGACTGCTGGCATTCCGGAGTCCATGCAAAGTTGCTTTTCTTCTTAAGCAGTTAGAAAAATCGATGGCTCTTATCTGAGGATCTCGAAATGAATTGTCCCAGGGAGGCTATCCTCCCTGTTAACCTTTGCACGGCCTTTACATTATCTACTACCATGATATCCTCGATAGCCTTGATTTTATCGGGGTTGATCTCTATTCCTCGGTTGGACACCATGAAACCAAGAAACTTGCCCGAGCCAACCCCGAATGCACATTTTTCGGGGTTGAGCTTCATATTGTACTTTTTTAGTACGTTGAAAGTTTCCTACAAATTCTTTAAATGGTCCTCTACTCGCAGGGACTTTACTAACATATCATCAATATAAACTTTCATTGATTTTCCTATTTGTTTTTTGAACTATCAGTTTACTAGGCGTTGATAAGTTGCACCAGCATTTTTAGACCGAATGGCATCACGTTATAACAGTGGGTACCGTACTTAGTGATGAACGAGGTCTTTTCCTGATCCTCCGGGTTCATCTGTATCTGGTTGTACCCGGAGTAGGCATCCAGAAAACTAAGAGTCTCGTGGCCGGACATGGCATCGATCATACGATCGATATTAGGCAAAGGAAAAGAATCCTTAGGGCATGCTTTATTCAGGTCTTTATAATATATACACATTCTAAGTATGTTCCCCTTCTTAGGGACTACCACCTCATTTGCTAGCCATTCGGGGTATTTTACTTCTCGAATGGATCCTATTTTAAGAAGTTTGGCTACCTCGTCTTTGATAAAGGCATGTTTGACCTCGCACTGGGGCCTTCTTTTTTGCTTTACCGGCTGGAATTTCGGATCCAAGCATAGTTTGTGAGTGGTTATTTTCGGTGGGATCCTTGTCATGTCAAGATGGCACCAAGCGAAACAGTTCATGTTAGCTATAAGAAATTGAATAAGCTTTTTCCTGAGTTTGGAATCTAACCTTGTGCCCAGGTATACCTTTCGTTCAGGCAGATGTTCGATTAGCATGATTTGCTCCAGTTCTTCGACCATTGATTGGGTAGCATCGGAATTATCGGGGACCACGAAGGATCGAGCAACCCCATATTCATCATCTTCGTCAGTCTTCTGATTCTCTAGTTGAGTCGATGCTGACATTTGTAATTGTTATTTCGTATCCCGTTCCCTCTTCAAATCCGATCCTTTTGTCGATGATAGTGAAGATATCGGGATCACTTCATCGACGGCAAATATTTCTTTTGTGGCCGGTTACTTCCCGTAGACCGTTTTGATTCCCTCCGATGTCAGGAATTTCGGAACCTGGTGAAGGGTCGAGGGCATTGCTCTCATGATGTGGATACATGGCCTCCCGAATAGGGCGTTATATCTCATATCGCCCTCGATCAATTAGAACTTCATTTCTTGGATGATCTCGGCCACGTTTACTGGCAAGATTATCTCGCCGTTAGTAGTTTCATACGCCATATTAAATTTGTTCAGTACCAGGGTTGCGGGCACGACCTGATCCTGTAGACCGAGTTGCTCTACGACCCTTGATCGAATGATGTTGGCCGAACTACCTGGATCAATTAACACACGCTTAACTTGAGTTTTATTCATAAGTACAAATATTACCAGTGCATCGTTATGGGGTTGCATGATTCCTTCCGCGTCTTCGTTACTAAAGGACCGGGTTCCTTTAGATGTGTAATCCTGAGTCCAAAATCGCTTCTCACTTACAATTGACATCTTAGTGTGTTTAATCACCGGCTCCTAGGGGATATCGATGCCTCCGATGATCATGTGTATGATGTGTTGTGGCTCTTCTTGTTCGTTTTGTCTATTGAAATCTCTAATTTTGAATTGGTTTTTGGCCCGGTCACTTAAAAATTCTCTAAGGTGCCCTTCATTGAATAAACGGGCTACCTCCTCTCTCAACTTCCTGCAGTCTTCGGTTCTGTGGCCATGAGTGCCATGATACTTGCACATTTGATTGGGATTCCTCTAGGTTGGATCGGACTGCAGAGGTCGAGGCCACTTAGTATCTTTGATGCGTCCGATAGCTGACATGATGGCGGATGCATCGATGTTGAAGTTATATTCTGATAACTGTGGTTCTTCCTTAGGCCCGGTATGCCTGTCGAACCCATTCTTGTTCATCAGCCCCCGAGACCCCTGGCCTCGATCACTTCTCCTTTCGCCTAGTATGGAGTTGCGAGCAGGTTCTCTACCCCTACGATCTCTGTTATACGGCCGATATCGGTCCTTGTTTGACCTTGGTTCTCGGTCGATATCCCTCTTAATAACGGACCTAGAACCCAACTGGTCGTCTTTGATTCTAATCTTCGATTGATATCGATTGTGTACATTGGCCCAGGTAACAGCCGGGTACTCGATCAAGTTCTTCTTCAACTGCCATGAAGCCATCGAGCTTCGTTCGTTCAGTCCTTGAGTGAAAGCCTGAACAACCCAATCGTCTGTGACCGGTGGTAGATTCATTCGCTCCATTTGGAAATGAGATACAAACTCTCTTAGCATCTCATTATCTTTTTGCTTTACCTTGAAAAGGTTCGACTTCCTGGTCTCGACCTTTATGGCTTCGGCATGTGCTTTTACGAAAGAATCTACAAGCATAGCAAAAGAATCGATAGAGTTAGGCGGTAAATTATGATACCATACCATTTCCCTTTTGACAGGGTTTCCCCGAACTTCTTCAATAATACGGATTCAATCTCGTTGTCTTTTAGATCGTTCCCTTTAATGGCACATGTGTAAGAGGTGACATGTTCGTTGGGGTCGGTCGTTCCATTATATTTAGGAATTTCGGGCATGCAAAACTTCTTGGGGATCGATTTAGGAGCCGCGCTCGGGGGGAAAGGCTTTTGTACGAATTTTTTGGAATCCAAGCCCTTCAATACCGGTGGTGCCCCCGGGATCTGATCAACCCTGGAGTTATAAATTTCTATTTTTTTGTCATTTACTTCAATCCTCTTTTCTCCTGACTCAATTCGTTTTGTCAGTTCCTCTAACATCTTAATAATTTCGGGATTAGTCCCCGATTCTTGTTCATTGGATCTTACTACGGCTGGCCTTGTTTCGTGGGTGACTTCTCGGGGTGGATCGGGCTCGGCTCTGCTCGGTGCCTGTGTTTGGCTCTACAACTGAGCTATCGCTACCTGTTGAGCTTGCAACATTTCGAAAATCATACACAAGTTGATCCCGTCTTCTCCAACATTTTGGGTATTTTGAACTGCAGATCGAGTTTCATCATGAATGTTGATTTCGGGGTAGGAAACCATACGCAAGTAGAAATATATCGAATATTGACTGTAGAAATGGAAGGAATATAAACCCAAATTGAGTAGAGAATGATTTACAAATGAACAAGATGAATCAATATCCAAAGCCCAAAAAAGGATAATCTTTACTATATGTGTGTATATCTCAATAATCTTTGAAATGTGAGAGTGTATTAATGTCTGAATGTTGAATGTGTCCCCTTTACACAAATGATAGTCACTCTTAATATAGTGGAGGAATCCTACTTTGGATACAATTAAAAATACATAGTGTGGATCCCATGATAGAATAGTTAATTAGCTTTTTCTTGCTTTCCGCCGAGATTCTCTTCCCTAGTGCGGCTACAACGGCTTTTTGTCTCTTGGCTCGATCTTGATTTTGGTCGGTCTCGTTATTGGTCGGTCTCTGGGTCTCGAGCTCGACCTTGACTCGAGCTCGATTGACTTGAGCTCGGTATTGATCGGTCTCTAGATCTCGAGCTCGATAACCCAACTTCACATCATAGCTCGATATTATAACGACGACACTCGGACCGTCATGCTCCAATCTTGACTAATCACACGAAGGGCAAACGCGGTTTTGATCGTATACAAGCCTGTAAAAGGTTCTTACTATGTTCCAACAACTCGGTTTGTCATAGATCCAATGTCATCCTCTTCACATATTTTTGCTATGCCGAAGTCGGATATCTTTGGATTCATGTCCTTGTCTAACAATATGTTGTTAGCTTTCAAGTCTCTGTGTACTACTCTCAATAGAGAATCTTGATGCAGATACATAAGTCCTCGAGCTATACCATTGATAATGTGAAATCGCTTGGGCCAGTCTAATACCTTGCTTCGTGCATTATCTGCCAAAATAATGTCGGATCATTTATGCACTAATTAAATATAGTGGAAAGTGGTATTAAGACCTAAAACAAAATCAGTCCTTTTCCTGTTTGAAAAATTATTACAAGAGTTTGGTCTGCCAAGTGTGTTATTATTTGGCATTTATATAACTGGGTTCTTAGTTCTCTTGTTGCATGACTTTTCCTGCCTTGGGGGCTTCCAAAGTTGGAATAAGATCAGTGAAGTACTCCTATAGGCATCAGCTCACTGAATGCAGTTATTATTCAATTTGCACAATATTGGATGGAGAAGTTGTACCAAATATAAATGAATCAAGACTCCCATTTGGCAAGTACTCATAGATCAGCATTTTTTCGTCCTCTTCAATACAACAGCCATGTATCTTCACCAGATTCCTATGCTGAAGTTTGGCAATATATACAACTTCATTCTTGAACTCATTCTCTCCTTGTGTGGAAGTTCTAGACAGCCCGCTTGACAGCTATTTCCTGTCTTTCATGTATGCCCTAAACATCATAAGATCTGCCTTTTAATTTCAATACCCAACTTGATATAAAAAGAACACAAAGTCTGTTATGCTTCCAAATAAAAAGAGATTATCAGTAATAAAATATCAGTTTATATTTTGTTCTCTAGTTTAGGTCAAATGTGCACTGTCCAAATTGCTATTGTAAGTTAATTCTGTTTTTAGTTTAGCCCTACAATTTGGGCCTTTAAAACAATGAAGTGTATTAGAAAAATTCTGCCTTTTTGATGGGGGAACAAGTTGTGAACATGGCAAAAAATGAACAAATAAATGACTATAAGGAATGAACGACTCTCTCTTCTTAAACAAACTATATCCTCAACACTTAAATCTTCAATTCCACCCAAAGGGTAATGGGTTGCTCCTTCAGCATTTTTTGCAAATGCTACCGGCTCATGGCTGAGTAACTAGAGCTAATTGTTAGACTGCACTTATAGGAAAAACTATAAAGAGTGGTTCTTGGACGCATTCTGAGAATTTTTGGATATCGCCAAGTTCATGCATCAGAAGGGCACTCTCATATCCCCACCTTTCTCTCCTTAGCTATTGTATAAGTCTATTTTGGTTTCACAAAGCAAAGCCTTATTTCATTAAGCCTTTTATCACACAACTCCAATACTGAATCTTTACTCTGAAAGACGAGGAAGCAAAATATAGAAGTTCTAAGGACACATTCTAAGAATTTTTGGATATCTACAAGTCCATGCACCAGAAGGACATTCCCCCCCATCCCCACCTTTCTTCCCTTAGCTATTGTATAAGTCTCCTTTCGGTGTCACAAAGCAAAGGTTTATTTAATTAACACCTTTTATCATACGACTCCGGTATTGAATCTAAAGATGAAGCTTTACTCTGAAAGACTAGGCCTTAAGTGTGTATACCTTGTAAATAGGTCCAAACCCCCCTCTCCAAACTTTCTGTCAAATGAAAAATTATTGGTGGCCTTTGCTATCGTAGATAAGTCAAACAGTGGTATTTCAAATCCTTCAGCGCAATTACTGTTGTAATCCATCTTGTAATTGCCACTGCATCCTGACCTTCCTGCCAAAAGCAAATGACGTGTTTTTTTTAAATAAAGTAAAGCAAATCAAGTTAATTTTGTTTAACTGCGGATACCAGACAAATATGAAACTTCTTTTCACTATTATTTAAAGACATCTTACCTTTCTTTTTAAGCGCTAAAGCCTTCATCCTTCTTCTATGATAGATCAGCAGGCTAAGGACTACCAGAATCACACCAACTGATAATGGAAGAATCCAGAAAAGTATTTTTCCTTTCTTTCCATGCAATTTTTCCAGACTATCTGCAAGTCCATTCCAACAACGATAAAAAATAAAGTATCTCACGAATAATTCCAGTGAATATAATTCAAGATTTGCAAAATGTTGTTGTAGTTTTAGAGTGCCAAACAGAGTTCCTTCCTACTAGTTACCTGGGATTGCCTCTGGGGGCAAAAACGTAATTTGAATTTATTTGTGGCAGGGAGTGGTGGATAGATATGAAAAAAGTTTGGCTAACTGGAAGAAACATATCTTTCTTTGGGGGGACATAGTATATGTGGGGATTGAATCCAGTACACTATACTCCGTGGGGTGTTGATTATTGATATTGTGTTATACAAGTCCTTTAAGTCTTTGGAGTACTGCATGTCATTTTTCATTTATTGATAATGAGTTTTAAAGATTCTGGAATCCTTTGTGTAATGCAAGTCATATTTTAATTTTTGAATGTGCTTCATTCCAACTATAACCCTCTTTAATTTTGAGGGAGCTATATTTTGATGCTACATATCAATCGCGTGTTCTTTAGAAACTAAGTGCCTTTCAATTAGTTCCCATAAAGTTGCTGGGTATAACCAGTCATTGTGCTTATAGATTCAGACTATTCCACTCTAAAGTAGGAGCCTTTAGTTCAGTTAAAATTTGTTAGTTCCTTGCTGATATTTTATACGTCAATACCATACAAGAGGGAGGTGATTTGTGTGGTGTCTAATTTTTCGCGTACACAGATTATAGAAAGATCTGGTTCTTCTATGTGTTCCAACTATTACTGTTGCAGAATAATAAGTACAGAAAATAAAGAACACAGAGATTTTTACGTGGAAAACACCTGGCTCAAAAGGTGAAAAAACTATGACCTACTTCCCAGTAGGATTTTCCCAAACTCTTCATTAAATCACTGAGCCAAAAACTGCATTTACAAAATATTTTTATAAATCTAGGATTAACTCTAATCCCGTTGTGGCAACCAGCCTCTAACTGATGCGACAACTTCAAGTTAACTCTAACTTGAATACTCTGAGTACCTGTTACAATTGCCTCTAGATAAAGCTGAAAGGTACTGCGATGACCCAAAATGTCATTTTTAAATTTAATGATTAATTATGTAATCTAAACACTATTTACCATTACTCGACTTGAGTATGCAGTCCGTAAAATTTTTTCGGAAAAGTTTTCAGGTGCAAAATGGATTAAAATATGAATTAGAGCTTTAAAACTCAACTGAGTTGACTTTGGTCAACATTTTGAGCAAACGGACTCGGATAAGTATTTTGACAGTTCCGGTAGGTCCGTATCGTTATTTGGGACTTAGGCGTATGCCCGGAATCAAATTCCGAGGCCCCTAGCCCGAGATACGAAATTTTGATGAAAAATTAAAAGTTTAAGTTTAAATAGTGATCGGATGTCGAATTATGTGCAAATGACCCCGAAATAGAATTTTGATGATTCCAACAACTCCGTATAGTAATTTTGGACTTAGGAGCATGATCGAAATTTTATTTGAAAGTCCGTAGTGGAATTAGGCTAGAAATGCCGAAAGTTGAATTTTTGAGAAGTTTAACCGAGGGGTTGACTTTTTGATATTGGGGTCGAAATCCGATTCTGAAAATTTTCATAAATCCATTATGTCATTTATGACTTGTGTGTAAAATTTGAGGTCAATCGGAAATGATTTGATATGTTTCGGCGCAAAATATAGAAGTTGGAAGATTTGAAAACTCATAATTCGATTCGATGCGCGATTCGTAATTTCGGCGTTGTTTGGCATAGTTTGAAGCCTCAACTAAGTTCATATTGTATTTTAGGACATGTTGGTATATTTGGTTAAGGTCCAGAGGGCCTCGGGTGGATTTCGGAAGGTTAACGGAATGGATTTCGGACAAAAAGGAACTGCTGGAATATTTCTGCTGCAGAAACTATTTTTGGACAGCAACCGGTGCAATCGTAGAGCTGACTTTGGAAGCTTATATCTCGAAATTTATAAGGAATCTGAACATTATCAAAACATGAAAGTTGTAGCACTTTGATTCTAGTTTTCAGAATGATAAACCATTTATCATTTATCATTCAGACATTTATACAAAATGTTATGATGGATTGACTGAAGCTAGTACTGCAGATTTTGGCTACAGTAGTATGCATCGCCAGAAATTTCTGCTGCACAGGGCTGATTTTGGGAGCTTATATCTCGCAATCTATAAGGAATCTGAATATTATCAAAACATAAAAGTTGTAGCCCTTTGATTCTAGTTTCCAGAATAATAAACCGTTTGGCAGTTGGAGTTGAGTACGAGAAGTTATGATTAATATACTACAGGCTGTCGAGGAAGAGTTTGATGTTTTCAACATAAGCATGTAATGATCCAAAA